GCCGGTTAATGTGGTTTGAACCCATTTTAAAGGTCATTTTAAGATATATCAGTTCAAGATAAAATACCATAATTATAGTACATTGAAATTTTTTTTTATTAATTTCAAGACATATACAAATTGATAGTCTGCATTCACAAATGATTTAACTGAACACCTTTGAATACAAAGTTAACCAAAATACAGAAAAAACCTGTAGCATATAATCACCGGATGAAGTGTCTTTACTATGAAATATGTAAAATTTAATGAAGTTGTCCATTTTCACATAATAACGGCATGGTTTTAGACATGATCCTTTGATAGGGGTCATCAGACTCAAGTACTAGCACTTCAGTTTTTGATTGATTTGGGTGAACTTTTGTCATTTCTAGACATTTTATTACTTAGTAACATAACCGATTGGTTTCAAATTGATTATTTTAAGTTGATAGAAAAAAATATTCTGTGGTACATCAGTGCTGTTTCTATTATGACTTTTTATCTGAGGTACCAATATTATTTTTCCAGTAATTTTGATCAGTAGCTATCCAAAAACATTTTTATTGGAGCCAGTCTCAGGTCTTATTTAAAGCCTGTATTGAGTGTGTAATTATGTCTCTTGTGTGGGAGTGTTTCCTGGAAAACCAGCATGAAGTGAATGGTTCTGTGAAGGAATCATTTTAAGTGATAATTACTGGTGATATAAACATATATAATTAATTTGATACAAGTACAAACCATGTGCATATTAAATACAGTTAAACCTGTGAACAGAGGCCATTTAAAGAGGAGACCAAACATGGTCTTTATAGTGAGATGGTCTTTATTTAACAGTTAATGTGTTATATTTAATCAATGAAAGTTTGTTAAGGAGTGGCCCTAATAAAAGTAACAGGACAGGGTGATCTTTATTCAGAGGTGGTCTTTAATACAGGTTTGACTGTAAGTACAAATAAGTCATGTAAGAATGTGGTTAACCCAAAGATCATAAAAACTCTTGTTGAAAATTGTTAATTTTCTTATTATAGTGCTTATTTGAAACAGTCTCTTAAATTCTTTTAAGTGTAATAAGAGATAAATTTTTGAAGAAAAACTTAATCTAATTGCTAAAACAACTATGTAGACAGGCCTGTGCCATTAGCAGGTTTTTTTTCACAGGTCCTAAAATTATGGAGTACAATAAGACTGTGTTTTTACAGAAGTGAAAAAGAGGGGAATTTGAAAAAAGAAATTGAATTTTTTGAGATTTTAAAGAATTTTTGTGAAGGAAAGAAGGCTGAAAATGGTTGCAGCTATAAAAGGGGAAAAAAATTCTTGCACCGGTATAGAGTGACAGGCCAGAACCTCTGTAACTCAGGCAACTACTCTCTCAGTAGTTTTAGTATTAAACTTGTTCAAATTTCCCGATTTCAAAGTAAGAGCAAAAATTGATAGCATGTTTCTTTTATATTTGACAACTGCATTCATAGATGGCTTTATACTGGATGTTTATTTGATGTTCCTATTAAAGCAGTGATTGGTTTTTAATTGCTCATTAAATTTATTTATATGATGGTGTTTTCAAGTGATATTTAGATAAAGTCTACAGGTGTCCCTGCGATTAGGTGAAGAAATTAAAAAATTAAATGATTTTCTTTTTTAAATTGTAATCTTTATAATTCATTTATGTTTTTTTTCTCAATCACAAAGGACACATAATTATCAAGTTGTTGCAAAAAATATCAATCATTTTACAAAATTTTATCTTTGACAAATCCTCCGATGTGTGAAAGGATATAGATCAAATGTTGCATTGAATAGTTAGTTGATGGCTGATAAGCTAATAAAGGTTATCCAGAAATGGGTAAATGTTGCCTTTTCCAAGCTTATAAATGTGTACAAACAAACTATATATTGACCAATGAAAATGCTGAGATTTGAGACTGAACTCAGAAAAAAGATTTATAACCTTGCTGCCAGTATAGTCTGAGCAAGACGCCAGCCTGTATAGCTGTTTCATCTTGATATTCCGAAAATTGATAATAGATAGTTCCTAAAATGGAAGCTTCGGGCAAGTCCATTAGATCTATTTAGCACTATTAAGCAAGATTATCAGATTATGGGCTAAGCTTCTAAATTATTAACATTTTAGATAACTGTTTTACTTTAATAATGCATGATCAGTGTCGCCAGAGAGATTTGTAAAATTTTTAGGAAATGAGAAATAAGGGAGATAAACACAGGTGAACAGGTCACTGTACTGAAGTTGTGTAACCTGTCATATAAACAGAAATTATCTTGTCAAATTTCTCGACTTTGTCAAAGTATTCAAAATCTGCCGCCATTTGCTTGATAATGTGTCAAAATATGCAAATTCTGCCACTATTTTAACGTCATTTTCAAGAAATTATTTTGATTTACTAGATGGAATGATAGATTTGTCTGCAATAGATTATTTTATATGCTAAATTTAGGAGGAGAGCATAATTTCTGTCAATTACACTACTGTTATATTTTTTAAAGGAATAAAGCTGTCTCTACTATGAAGAATATATGTTTTTTATAATAATAGTTACATAATCTTTCTTCGGTTATTTTGAATGATAAGTACAATTACATCCAGATCTTTTTCCGGATCATTTTTCTGTATTTAACACCTTGTATTGCTGAATTTGTGCTGTACCATGAATATGCATTGACATGATATTCATACACCTGGAAAACATTCTCTTGGTATTGTTCAGATTTTCTTGACGCTTTCAGGAGATATATAATTAAAGGAAAATATGATTAAAGGAAATTTTTTATACAATTGAAAGAATATTTTACATGTGTGTTGTTCCGAGACTGATTGAATCACTGGGTGATCGTAAAAGGCGACTAAATAGGTTCCAATAACTGGAGTCTATGCATCTCTAAGACCCAACAGGTGAAGTGGTTTTGACCCCTGGTGTTGCTTTTAGTTTGTAACACCCAAGGTAAGCCAAAAGAATCTTTCCTGTTTGGTGCAATATGACCTTTACTGTGTTGGTGCACCATAAAACCAAACAAAATCACTTGGCTGATTATGTAAAGTTGTATTCATATTCACTCTGAAGGCTTGTAAGGGCTGGATATATAAATCCAGGCCAGCCTTTACTTTCATGGCTTTAAATTAATGCAACATCGTTAGTTTTAAAACAACAAGATGAATTAAAAAAGGGGACTTCCATGGCCAAGTGGTTAAGGTGGTTATCTTCAAATCACTTGCCCCTCATCATTGTGGGTTCAAATCCGGGCAGGGACTTTGGATTCTTTCATGTGAGTAAGTTATCCACTTCAAGTCTTCCTCCACCAGTGAAGCTGGAAAGACGCCATATGACCTTTAAATGTGTTGTGGGATGAAAATGCAACAAAAAAATTAAATCCAAAAGAAATATATTCCAAAAGACATATAGAAAAAAATCCTTGCACAGTATCATTTAATAATGGCAAAGGATTATAACCCATTAAAATATGTAGCTGAAATACTTTTAACATATCTAAAATACCGACAAGACAAAAAACAAAACAAGGTTATAACATAGCCATTATAATCATTTGTCTTTTTCAGGGGTATTTTTTGCAAGTAATTATGTCATAGCAAATAACCATAATACTGTGTGACATGACTTTTATCCTTCACCTTTTATCACCAACTACAGGTCAAAGGTCAGAAATAGGTACGAAGAAGATTAATTAAAGGTCAGATAATTACTCTCCGCATCGGATACCTCTCACTTACCTCCACAATTTATTTGACAAGAATGCATGGGGGGGATGGTGTGACTATTATTTTACATGATATTGTATTAATGCATGGTGTATATGACATGCGATTTAGGCAAAAACATAGGTAATCTACTGTTTAGATATTTGCCATTTTATATATAATGACAAGCCTAAGCAGGTATTTTTGCTGTAAAATAAAAAGGAATTGTGAGTATATAAAATAAGCATGATTATATACTGTAAATATCAGAAAATTGGTAAGAACATAATAAAAGAGCCTATATTTTAGTGGTTATGCAAGCATGACCTGAGATAATTATTTGAATTGTCGAATTTAAAGTCTTGGCATAATTTAATATTGCAACTCCATGGTGAAAATATAGTGAAATCTGTTGGCATATAAACCTTTTTTGAGGACTGATTGATTGAAGAGGGGCGTCTGTGGCCAAGTAGTCAATGTAGTTTAGACTTCAAACCATTTGTCCATCACAGCTGTGGGTTTAAAGCCTGCCATGTAAGCTATCCAGCTAGCTTACAGCATGTAAGTGGTTATACTCAGGTGCATTCATGCCTGAAAATATGCACGGAGGGACACCTTAGGTTTTCCTCCACCAGTGAAGCTGGATGCTGCTGGCCGGGAACAAAATAATATATATGCATGCGACCAGTGCCATCTGATCATTGTCTGCACTGTTAGCTACTGAACTTACTCTAAAATTTTCCCTGAAATGATTATACCCTGGTTAAAATATGGACAAGTTGATTTAAGATATTAGGTTGTAATGGTTAATGACCAGGTAGGAAGTATAGAATAGTAGCTTTTTATGCCACCGCAGCATCTGCTATGCGGTGGCATATAGCGATTCACCTGTGTGTGTTTGTATGTATGTGTGTTACATAGATTATATAGTGAACTTAAAAAATCTTCTTGTGAAAAACCACAATAAATTTTTGTCCTTTGATGTACAGTCATGGAATTTTGGCCATGTGAAATATGACTTTCACCACTAAATTCACTAGACTCAATTGCATTGATAGATTCCTACTCTGATCTTTTATTTGAATAACAATAGATTTAACCACTAATCCAAAAAAATTCTGTTCCTACATTACTATTTAGTGTTGTATAATAATGCGGTGGCAAAGCATTTTTCATAAATGCAATCTTGTTTAAGATTTGGTGTAATGCCTATATGTGTATATTGCAACTTGATATGCATGAAAAAAAAGGAGAGCTCTTTTTGTTTGCAGATGACCTAAATAAATTGACTATTTCTTTATATTTTCAGACAGGAGTCCTGATGTTCCCTCATGATGACTTTGTTATAGAGCCATTACCAAGTCACCTGTCATCTTTACATGAACATCGTCATCACCATGGCAGCGACCTTCGTAGGAGTCATGGTAACACACATCAAAATAGTCATGGAAACGCACATCAAACTAGTTCTCACAGTTCCCATGACAACCAGCAGTATTTGAACGACCTTGACACCTCAACACATTTACAAACGCATGACAATATTAGTGTTGCTACTGACAACCATCACCATGACAACACAGGAAATGACCTTAGCAACAAGAATGACCTTGACACAGATAGTGTTAAAACTAGCAATACAAGTAGATATTATAACGAGAAATCATTAAATGAATCTTATAGAGTTCTGCATAATCATGATAAACTTGCAAATGAGGCATTAGAATTAAAAGAAAACGAGAGTATAGCTAGCCATGACAACAAGGGTAAAACAAATGAAGATGAAAGGCGTCACAAGGGGAAGGAAAGTGCTCATATCATATATAGAAGATCAGCATTATTCAAGCATATACCTGATAATTATCAAACATCAAAAGGTGAGTGTCAGCCAAAGTACATTGTACATTGTCAATATGAAAACTAAGAATTCATTCCCTGTTTGTCATAGGACAATTGTTTCTTTATGTGTAGGTATGGGTTAAAAAGTGTTTTATTAGTATTTGCATTTTCTCATTTATTTAAGAACATATTGATGAAAGACCTCCATTATGATCTTAGTTAGCCTAATGTTTTCAGGCACATATTGTAACATTTAAAATATTTTAAAGTGTAGGTTTGATTCTCTTCATGGAAATTGAATTCTTCTGTATGAGCTCATAGACCGCTGAAAGGTTTGCCCTGCAGTCATATAGTCCCTAAGGTTCAATTTGAGTACTCCTTTTTTCCAGTAAGTGCAAAAGTTGCCATATGTGGCCAGGACAGTGTATATTGGACTTAAAACCTGTCTGTGGAAAATCTAATTAAAATTGCCATTCAGATAAAGCCCTTTATAGTTAGTGGAGAGTACAAAGGTCAAACAACAATCAAGGTCAAATAAGACAAATATGCACAATTTTATTCCAATTTAAAGCAGATTTTATTTACATCATAGTATTTATCTGCTAAATTTTACATAGCATTTGTTACATTTCAGATTTTAATAGATACGCCAAGTCAACGAAAATGTTTCATCGTGCACGAAGGAAAAGATCGTACAGAAGTTCGGAACGTAGAGTAGAAACTTTAGTCGTAGTTGATCAAGATATGTACAGGAAACATGGACGGGAAAATATAACAACCTATGTCCTTAGTATATTTAATATTGTAAGTTTATATTTTATATCATATGCATATTTAAGGTCATTGTTGAAAGGTCAAGGTTACACCTAGGTATGATATATAGTGGGCATGTCATTTTCATTCATTTAAACTACTGCAAATATTTCTCAGTCACGGTTACACTTAGATATCATATATTGCCAGCATGGTATTTTCATTAATTTAAACTATTACAAATATTTCTCAAAGGTCAAGGTTACACTTGGATATCATATATTGCCAGCATGGTATTTTCATTCATTTAAACTATTACAAATATTTCTCAAAGGTCAAGGTTACACTTGGATATCATATATAGCAAGCATGCCATTTTCATTCATTTAAACTCCTGCAAATATTTCTTAAAGTTCAGATATGTTATATAATTATAATTCAATAAATTTTAATCAGATAAAATTCCTGCAAATGTTGCTTAAGGGTCAAGGTCACATTTAAAGGTCAAGCAAGGAATGAAACATCCTTGACATAATATTATAATGACTAAAACTATCATACAAATTTTCATCATGGAATAAACTTTTTATGCCCCCGCCATGTAATGGCCGGGGCATATAGTGTTACCCTGTTCCGTCCTTCCGTCCTTCCGTCATTCTGTCATTCCGTCATCATCAGTTTCCGTTCATTATCTTAAGAACGGTTGCACACATTCAACTCAAATTTGACATATGGATATGTCATGAGAAAATACAGGTCAAGTTCGAATTTGGTCATGGTTTCGATGATTTTTGGCAGAGTTATGCCCCTTTTACTTTGAAAATAATATGAAATTTCAGTTTCCGTTCATTATCTCCCCAACGGTACTACACATTCTTCTCAAACTTGACATATGGATATGTCATGAGAAAATACAGGTCAAGTTCGAATTTGGTCATGGTTCGATGATTTTTGGCAGAGTTATGCCCCTTTTACTTTGAAAATAATATGAAATTTTCAGTTTCCGTTCATTATCTCCCCAATGGTACAACACATTCAACTCAAACTTGACATATGGATATGTCATGAGAAAATATAGGTCAAGTTCGAATTTGGTCATGGTTCGATGATTTTTGGCAGAGTTATGCCCCTTTTACTTTGAAAATAATATGAAATTTTCAGTTTCCGTTCATTATCTCCCCAAAGGTACAACACATTCAACTCAAACTTGACATATGGATATGTCATGAAAAAAATACAGGTCAAGTTTGAATTTGGTCATGGTTCGATGATTTTTGGCAGAGTTATGCCCCTTTTACTTTGAAAACAATATGGAATTTTCAGTTTCCGTTCATTATCTCCCCAAAGGTACAACACATTCAACTCAAACTTGACATATGGATGCGTCAAAGGAATGCGCAGGCCAAGTTCAAATTTGGTCATGGTTCAATGATTTTTGGCAGAGTTATGCCCCTTTCACTTTGAAAGTAATATGAAATTTTCAGTTTCCGTTTATTATCTCCCCAATGGTTCAACACATTTAACCCAAATTTGACATATGGATATGTTTTTGAAATGCGCAGACCAAGTTAGAATTTGGTCATGGTTCAATGATTTTTGGCAGAGTAATGCCCCTTTCACTTTGAAAATAATAGGAAATTTACAGTTTCTGTTCATTTATAATCTACCCAACAGTGTTACATATTCAACTTAAATTTGACATATAGATATGTCAAAGGAATGGGCAGGTCAAGTTGGAATTTGGTCATGGTTTGATGATGTTTTGGCAGAGTTATGTCCCTAATTTCACTTTGAAAATAATATAGATACATCTTAGGAATAAGCAGTTTAAGTTTGAATTTGGTCGTGGTTCAATGATTTTAGACAAACTTATCTTTCCTGAACGTTGAAAAAATTTTGAACTTTCAGTTTCAGCACTCATACTTTTAGCCATTATTTTGGCTACAAATATGCAATATGCTATTTTTAAAAGGTTAAGACTGAATAATTTCAGTGCCTTGAACATTGTATGAAAATGGTTTGTGTTAACATTGAAAAGTTTTAAGGGCTTTGAACTAAAAATGAAAAAAATAATTAATGCACCATCTGAAATTTTGGCTGCATGCGGGGGCATCCGTGGCATGATGACACATTTCTAGTTTTTATTCTACTATGCCAAAAAATTAGTACAGTTAGAGTTAACATAATCATCTAGTGCTTTGTAAAAGATACATGTAATAGTAAAGAGGACGTTTAACACTTATTTTTAGTTTTTAACCACAAAAGGTGTATTATAATTTTTTCCCCGGTATACTTTTATTATGCCCCCCAAAAAATTTGGGGGGAGCATATAGTCGTCGGGTTGTCTGTCCGTCCGTCCATTCGTCAGTCCATCCGTACGTACGTACATATGTACTTATGTAACAAATTCGTGTCCAGCCCATAACTTTGTTATTTGATGTTGGATTTTAAAACTATTTCACAGAAATGATCACCATTTTGAGACAATGTGTCGTGCACAACATTTGGGTTGTTTTTACACTTTGAACTTTGTCTGTGACAATTACACTGACACTACAAGAGGTATACCTTCCTGTGTCTTAAACCTATTCATGGAGCATCACCTGGTTCCTTACTACAATATATACATAATTTCTTGAGGAATACTTCCTCAGATAAATAACCTTTTATTATGCTATATTTTAAACAAGTCTTATTTATAATAAGGAATGAAATATAAAAGTAATTCGTATTCTTCAGATGTAAGCAATTTTCTGAATGTTTTTCTGTGACAGAATACATGGTATTGACGTCATTAAAAACCACTATGCTTGTAGTACAAATAACTGTAATTATGTAATAGACAGCAAATTGTTATGAAAACATTTATTTTATTTTTGTTAATTAAGATTGCAACCTGCAGATGTAGTTAATGGGCTATGATTGCTAATTACATTAAGCTTAGCAAACACATTAATGTTAGATTTATACTTGTACCTACTTGTTTATAATTTTATCACCTTAGTGCAATAACTGATTAACTCCTATAAATTTAGAAGGACTTATTCCATTACTGCTCTAAGGTGATTTTTTTTTATTGTTGATGAGCATGAAAAAGATCTTTTATCTAGCGGGATTCCAGTGGAAAGGAAATGATGAAAGATTTTGTTCTTTTGTTCCTTATAAAGAAGAAAACTTCCTAACATGCTAGGTTGGTAGAGATTATAGTAAAAAGAAAGGATTTGATGGAAATTATATTTTCAGCTCGACTATTTAAAGTACAGGAAGAGCTATTGTGCTCAACCAGGCCTCAACTTGGCATCACACTTTGGTTAAGTTTTTGTGTACAATTTGTTGTCTCCAAAACTACTGAAGAGAGTCTGGGTTGAAACACACGTGAGAGCATTACAGGAGGTCACAGTCTTATGGCCCATAACTATAACACGGATTTTGACAGAATAATGGCCCTCTTTGAACTTAGAAAATTCTTACTTTATGTAGGCTCTAATTCTTACTTTATCGAGGCTCTTGTTATACTATCAAGCACTAAGAATAGTCATATCGCCAGCTCTTGTTTTACAGAATGTTTGTTATTGTTGACAAAGCATTATGTCAGAGATTTATTTTTATAAAAAGGTGGTCATATAATAAATTATTCTTCTAGGTCACTGAGTTTTGACACTGTTGTGTTAAAATCACAATATGTAGCCATTTGAATGTGGCATGAACATTATTATTTACACAGTTTTGGTGTTACCATGAGTGTTGCGCCATTATTGTGGGCATTGTTGTGTGCTACACTTTTTAGCCATTAATATGGCAACACAACATTTACACTGTTCAAATACAAGTGTGTAACCATTTAAATATGGCAAAACTTTGCAGCCATTACTGTCTCAATACAACATTTACACTGTTCAAATATTGTGTAACCATTTAAATAATTATGGAAACACTTTGCAGCCATTACTGTCTCAACACAACAGTTACACTGTTCAAATATCAATCATGTGTAACCATTTAAATATGGCAATACTTTGCAGCCATTACTAAGACAACACAACAGTTACCCTGTTCAAATATCATTGTGTAACCATTTAAATAATTATGGAAACACTTTGCAGCCATTACTGTCTCAACACAACAGTTACACTGTTCAAATATCAATCATGTGTAACCATTTAAATATGGCAATTCTTTGAAGCCATTACTAAGACAACACAACATTTACACTGTTCAAATATCATTGTGTAACCATTTAGATATGGCAATACTTTGCAGCCATTACTATGTCAACACAACATTTACACTGTTTAAATATCAATGTGTAACCATTTCAATATGGCAATACTTTGCAGCCATTACTGTGGCAACACAACATTTACACTGTTCAAATATCAATGTGTAACCATTTAAATATGGCAACACTTTGCAGCCATTAATGTGACAACACAACATTTACAGTCTGTTCAAATACCAGTGTGTAACCATTTAAATATGGCAATGCTTTGCAGCCATTAATGTGGTAACACAACATTTACAATGTTCAAATATCAATGTGTAACCATTTCAATAGGGCAATACTTAGCAGCCATTACTGTGACAACGCAACAATTACTCTGTTCAAATACCAGTGTGTAACCATTTAAATATGGCAATGCTTTGCAGCCATTAATGTGGCAACACAACATTTACCCTGTTGTGTTGAAATATCAATGTGTTACCATTTTTACAACACAACTTCTCTTCATGTGGTGTTTTATTATTTCAGGTATCCCAGTTATATCAAGATCCTAGTCTAGGATATCCAATTAAGATAGTTCTTGTAGGCCTGGTGTTCCTAGACGGTAGAGAAGTAAGTTGATTCTTTAGACCGGTATGTAATGAATTATGATCAGTGTATTATTGTGTAACTGTCTGGTTAGATCAGTAGGTAGAGCCTTGGACTGTGAATCGGTCGACCTGGGTTCGATTCCTGGATGGTGCAGTGATTGATTATGAAATTCTGTCTACGGTCATTGACACTGTACCTCTGGCATGTACGGAAGTAATCAGTTCCTTGCGAAAGTGAAGGCAACTAGTACTGGTAAACTGCCTAACAGCTTTCCCAGGAACAGTGCCGAAAGAATCTAAAGTCCTTGTCGGGATTCAAACCCACAGAGCGGTGAGGGTCAGGTGGTTTGTAGTAAACAACCATAACCACTTGGCCACAGACCCTCTAGCATTTGTTTAATTAATACATAATGTGAACCATGTTTGAATTTTTAGATAAGTACCTGTGGTCAGTCAAATTTGTACATTGTGCCAAATAAAAATGTCAAATATAATATGAACTTGCATTTTAACCTTTTACCCCATTTCATTGAAAAGCCTCCTGTAACAAGTTCAAACTGCTATAAAACTATGAAAAATGCTTCAATACTGATGAAACTTGGCACAAATATTGACTAGACCATAAGCTCTGTAACAGTATGCTCAATTGTAAATTTCCTGTTACCATGGCAACGGGGTGACGTCTCAAAATTGCCAAAAATCACTATTTTGCATTGTTTTTTTCTGCCAAAACTGATTTCCAAGTGCTGCAACTTCTCAATGAATTGAGATAGAGTAAAAGGCTTTTCTGTGTCGTCTACTAGTTACCCTAAGATCGACCTGAGGCCATTTTTAGCCTGTCACATGTCCAAAATTTTTTGGCGGGACAAAAAGCCGTCAAAACACTCTTATATTAGGGAAAGGTTAACAGCTTATATTGAAAGACCTTTCTGTGAACAAATTTGTATTTTATTTTCCAGAGCTGTCGTCACAGATAGGTTTGACTGTATCTTTAATGAAGTTATTTGTACTTTAAGCCAATGTTTGACTGTATTTTTAATGAGGTTATTTGTACTTTAAGCCAAAGTTTAAATGTATTTTTAATGAGGTTATTTGTACTTTAAGCCAAGGTTTGGTTGTATCTTTAATGAAGTTATTTGTATTTTAAGCCATAGTTTGACTGTATCTTTTATAAGGTTATTTGTACTTTAAGAAAAGGCTTGGTTCTATCTTTACTGAAGTTATTTGTACTTTAATCCAAGGTTTAACTTTATCTTTAATGAAGTTATTTGTACTTTAAGCCAGGACTACGAATTACACATCATGCTGACAAGACGTTAAACAGTTTCTGTCAGTGGCAGGCGGGGATCCACAATGGCCGTAAAAAGCTTCATGATCATGCGGTACTTCTGACGGGCAAGGACATCTGCTCGTACCAGGATGCTCCCTGTGATACTCTTGGTAGGTAGACGGCCATCTTTAGTTACTTACAAACACCCTGAGTATATTATGTCACTTCAAAATTTTATATCTACAGTCTGGACTGCCCGACCTTCCCCTGAATTAAATATCTCTGTATCTTTTCAGACTAATTTCAGTCCATCCAAGATATTTTCCCTGCATATCAAGATTAAATCTTATTAGATAATTTCATATAATATTATAGTGGTAAATACATATAATTAACTTTAAACATTTTAGTTGATAGTTAAGTTCAATAATGAAGCAAGGTCTAGCAACTTAATTGTTAACACTGATTCAGCTTTCTGGAATTACTAAGGGCTGGGTTCATACCAGGGATAATGTAAAATCGGATCTTTTCGTGAGACTCAAAGTTTGCAAAATCAATATTTTGGACTAAATGGCTAGAATAAATGTTTTGGAATTTCTATTTTCAATTATGTTAAATCTATATGATATGTACACATTTATTTTCATGGAAATCTTCTTTTTGCCAATTCAGCAAAATTTAATCCCTAACAAAAATTTCTGATTGTACTGTAGTGTCCCAAGTAAGGGCTCAGAGCCATGAATAAAACTGCAAATAAATAAAACTGCAAATAAATAAAACTGCAAAGAAATAAAACTACAAATAAATAAAACTGCAAAGATATAAAACTAAAAAGAAATAAAACTGCAAAGACATAAAACTGCAAATAAATAAAACTGTAAAGAAATAAAACTGCAAAGAATTAAATAAGCAAATAAATAAAACAGCAAATTAAACTGCAAAGACATAGTAATGCAAATAAATAAAACTGCAAAAGAAATAAAACTGCAGATAAAATAGAATTATAAATTAAACTGCAAATAGATAAAACTGCAAATAAATAAATCTGCAAAGAAATGAAACTGCAGAGATAGGGTAACTACAAATATTGCATGGAAAATATTAGTATATGTCATAATTTATATCACATCTTTGAAATATGTTATAAATTGTCATTTAGACATCATAAATTTGACTTGAAATGGCTCTTATAGCGGACCAAATTTCTGACAAGACACCACTAGTTCAACAGTATATAAAAGTGCTTCCTGTTGGCACAGAATTAAAATTCTCTAATTTACACGATAGTTGTGAAGTAAAATAAAAAATCAACCCTTTTAAAATAGTTTAAAAAGTACATTAATGCTAGACGCATACATCAATATGACATCATAAGTCTACTATAATTATATCCTAGACACTTAAATGGACAGACATTTCATTTAGTTTTTCGTGTATAAATTAAAGTGATATACGTTTGGCTACTGTAGGAAGCCGGGGATAATTTTACAGTATAACAGTATTGTCTTTCTACACATGGTTTTAGATTTGTACATAAATCAGGAGGATTTTGTATCCGGTACCATTTGAAAGTTGAAGAAATCTATACCTATTTTTTCTCACTTTCAAAAAAAAGAGTCGTATTACAGAACTGTGGTAGACCTTCTCCGGATATGTATGACCTCTCATTTGAGCCGCGTCATGACAAAACCAACATAATGGGTTTGCGACTAGCATGCATCCGCGCAGTCTGATCAGGATCCATGCTGTTCGCTTTCAGTTTCTCTACTTGTAATAGAGTTGGTAAGCGAACAGCATGGATCCTGATCAGACTGCACGGATTCGCACTACTGGTCGCAAACGCACTATGTTGGTTTTGTCATGACACGGCTCATTTATATAACATGGTCACATTTTTTTTTTTTTTTTTCAAAATAAGGTTGCTTACTTTATATATATAAATACACATGTATATATATATGAACCTTAAAGGGACTCGACTGAGGTTTTTTTGACATGAAAGGACTGGAAATAAATTTTTGAAATTAATGTGCCACTAGACCAATAACTTGTGTGCAAAATTTCAGATCATTCCCTTGCACCATTTTTCCAGAATAATTATTCTAATTGTGATCTCTTTTCACTCTAATTGGACTAAGAATATCACATAAAGACAGTTTTCAATTTATGCTGATCTGTATAAGAAATTCTATTATTTTTTTCTTTAGGCTTTTGGACCTCATTGGAGTTCCTTTAAGTTTCATTCCATTTTCTCCTATGTATCTCAAATGGTCATGGTTTGTTTTGTTTATAATTAAAGTGTTGGTATTTTTTAAAAACATTTTCAGGTTTTGCACCAATAGATGGGATGTGTAGTGAGTTGAGAAGTTGTATAGTAAATGAGGATACAGGACTCTCCACTGCTTTCACTGTTGCCCATGAAATGGGACATAAGTATGTATATACAAAATATAGATTTTTTCTAAAAAAACACAAGTTGTCTCCCTTACAATTTAAATCTTTTTGTTCCTATGATGTATCATGTTATTGTTAAGTAAATAAACCGTTCTCTCTCTCACTGTCAAAACTATATATGAGTGTAAGTTTGTACTACTAAGGAAAAATGAATAAAAATTGAAAGGTTAAATTTAGTTTTTAGATCTTACTTTATCTTAATCACTTTACAAGGAATCTAAACTTATATGAGTAAAAAAACTTAAAATCTAGCAAAATTTATGTACATCTGCTTTCGTATGTGAGTTATTTATATCAAACATTCAGCTCTTCAATTTGAAAGACATTGGTTTTGTAGGGACTTTGTCTTCTGCCCATGTAATGTATCAATAAGACTTTTCTTGTCAAAAGCTGAGAAATTACAACATATCCTTAATTTACTGCATTTAATGTAATTTTTAAAATAATTTAATTGCTAACATCCCTTACAAGAAGATGAAATAGTTGTACTCGAGATGGTTACACTATATCTTTATGGATATACATAAAAATCCTGATTGTTATTTCAGTTTTGGAATGATGCATGATGGGGATGACAATGTTTGTAAAGATGCCACTGGTTATATCATGTCACCTACCCTTTCAGCACAAAGTGGAACGTTCCACTGGTCTCCCTGCAGCAGACAATATATGAGAAATTATTTGAAGTAAGTTAATATGTAAAACTTGGTTGATGAAACTGTTATTGCACTGATCTATAGAGGATTTATTTAATGATACTGCGATATTTTTTCTTGTACAATAAACAGCTTAGCTCAATAAATTAACTTTTCATAGCAATTAATATCTTTTCACCCATATAAGCATATTAATTTACATGTTCAGTAGTAAGAAAATTTTTGAGTTAGAATCATCTTTAGCACAAAGTGGAATATTCCCACTGGTTACCAGGCATTAGTAAACACATGAACATTGAATTGTGGTTGGTGGATTCTACTAAGGTGCCTTAAATAATGCCTGTAAGTGGGGGGGTGGGGAGGGGGGGGGGGCTTAATGTCTTCTTAGCCAGTAAATTTACAAAGAAGTCATCATATGATATTTAGACTGTTAGTGTGATTAATATCCCAACCAAAAAGAAATAAGTGATATAGGACAGGGTCACTATTGAACATACATTTTTACAAATTTTTGTGTCTAGAGTTACAGTTATCATTATGAAATGTTCATTATTATTGTCATGATAATCAAATAATGAACATTTCATAATGATAACTGTAAAATTGTTTTGAGGAATTGGGGGCTACAATAAAACTTTTTGCATGACGACAACTATGACAACCCAGCAATCATTATACAATTTCAATATTGTATTGTAGTGCTGTGCAGTCGGAATGTTTGACGAGTCATTCAAGCGGAACAGCCGAACTCAAGTTTCCGAACAAGCAGCCCGGGGAGATATTCGATGCTGACACACAGTGTAAATGGCAGTTTGGCAGCCACTCTAAACAGTGCACCATTATATTTGGACGGGTGTGTAGCATACATGGCAGATCTACTTTGTATTTATTTACCAAATTTGATTCTACTTGTATGTCAAAAAGAAAGCAAATGTCTTAATTTAAGTTATACTCTACAATTACACAGCGGGTTTTGATTCTTTATGAAAATTATGAATCAGTAGTTTAAGTTACAGCTGGAGTGTCGGGTGTAAAATTTTGTTAAATTCTATATTGTTTGTAACAGACATCTGCATCTTAAGGTAACCTGAGTTGGTAAAGTAAAATTGTTGTTAAGCCTTTATTCACTGATTTCTTGAAAGATTTGTTACTTTTGCGAAACAAATCCATTAAAAAAAACAAACTTTTCTGCATAGTTAAAATGGAGCTTCAGAGGTAGTGTTTTGATTTTGAAAATAATTACTGTATATTAAATGGTGACATTTTTAATCGTCTGTTTAGAAGAAAAAGTCTAACTACATGTATAATGATTGCTGGGTTGTCAAGACAAGGGAAGTTATTCTGAAAGCTATATTTTATTTTGGAGTTATTCCCATTTGTTACTTACAGTTTTTAGTTAAGTAAGTAAAGATGGCCCATTTGAATTAACGTCTTCTTAAAAACAAATGAAATCGTGAATATACATTTCAATTATATAGGTGGACGTAAGGAAGTAATTAGCTACGTAGGAAAACATTTTAACATTGTATATACATGTATTTGTATTGAGATATATTCTTTTTTCAGGATCCATGTAAAAATCTGTTTTGTCACAAGAGGGCAGGGATGTGTGAGACGAAGTTTCTACCAGCAGCTGAGGGTACATCTTGTGGTAATGGTAGGGTAGGTAGGCACCATTTGTAAATGTATTTTCCCTCTGTGCTTCTCATAGATGTAAAAAGTGGCATCCTTGGCCTAGCGGTAACGGTTACAGGTATTTAGTAAGAAACAACACTGTTCCACACAGTCATATTTTTGGGGTGTCAGTAGCTGAATGGTTAAAACCTTTGACTTCATACCACTTTTCCCTCACTGCTATGGGTTTGAATCCCACCAGGGACTTTGAGGTTAGAATCCCACCAGGGACTTTGGTTTCATGTATGTGAGAAAAGCTATCCAACTAGCCTAATTATTTCACATCAGTGGAAAAAATCTATTCAGGTGCCTGTTTGTGCCTGAAATAATGCATTGAATGGCATGTGAGGTCTTCCTCCATCTGTAAAGCTGGAATGTTGCCATATAACCTCTACTGTGTTAGTGTGAGACAAAATCGTACCCTTACAACCATGCATTCAAAACTCGCAAGGAAAGTTGACTTCTTTTAATGTGACAGTGCTATTCATCTTGATCACTGATATTCTCCGGTACTAACTCATGCCAAAATCATTATATGAATATGCCATATAATGCGTCTTCCCCCAGTAGTAGAGCTATCAATGTTTTTTGCTTTTTTGCCACATGACTAATACATGCGGCTTGATTTCCCTTGCTGCTGAGGGGTTGCCTGAACGGGTTGAGGCATCAGAAATGCAGCCATCGTTCAAGCCTGTGTGATAATGTGAGGAGACTAAATAAGTTCAAATTATTGGAGTGTGTGCATCTCTAAGCTCCAGCAGGTGAGGTGGTTTTGACCCCTGGTGTTGCTTTAAGTTTGTAACACCTGAGGTCAGCCAAAATCATCTTTCCTATCTCAGCGCCATATGACATATACTGTGTTGGTGTGCAATAAAACCAAAAATACAAAATGTGTCTAGACAAATGCAATAACTACTAATGTTAATGTTTGTGAATATGTATCTATCTCTGAGTAAGCTTTACTGTTGTTTTCTGGTGTTTTCTTTGTTTTTGTTTTACTTGGTGTAGGTTGTCAAGTTGTTAAACATGTTATATATTGTATTGCATTTTTAATATGTAATCATTCGCAAATATAGTTCTATAGTAATGTAAAATTTGTAGGACATCTTCTGTGCAGGCTGGCTCTATACTGATGGCAAAGGTTAAAACATCATAAGTTATAAAATTGAAGATACATTTCCCAATTTTCAAGTATTAGAAGATTAATTTTATTTTTACAAAAACTACAATACATTATGTATTCTTTCCTATTGAATGAAGTATTAATGCCACATGTTGTACTCATATTATAATATAATGTTGTAATGTAATGTAATATTTGATTATATGAAATATCCATCTTGTAAATCCTACACGAGTTCCATTCTTGCCTGATGCCTTAAATAATGCATGGAGGTGCACCTTAAATTAGAGGTTTTCCTCTACCAGTAAAGTTGGAAAGTCACCTTATGACTTATTCAGCTTTGTGCAATGTAAAACCCAACCAAAAAACTTCATTTATTAAATAAACATATTGATAATGATACAATTTAATACATAGTTATTTAACAGGATCAGTTTTCTAATTTCAGTGGTGTCAGCAAGGTCAATGTGTGAGATATGGAAAATCTGGCCCGACCCCTATAGATGGATGGTGGACGGAGTGGGGACAGTGGTCACACTGTTCAAGGTCATGTGGTGGTGGTATCAAAACAAGGAAAAGAGAGTGCAACAATCCAAGGTATAAATTGTTTTTTCTCTTATGTTCATAATATTGATGGAATAATTTAATAAATCCTTTGTCCAAAAAAAAAAAAAAAAAATTCTGAAAAACAGTTTTTCACTTGCCTTAATGCTTATGAATAGAAAACTGGATATTGACAGCCAAATTCTATTTCACTATCAATATTGCTTATTTAAAGGGACTCCACTGAGGTTTTCCAACAAGACGGGCCTGGAAACAATTTTCAAATATTAATGTTCCATTAGTTGCAGGTCTAGACCAATAAGTTATTATAACTGTGCAAAATTTAACTACACAGCAAAACTTCTTTCTTGAAAGCTAACTATTGAAAATTTCTCAATGAAATTTTAGTCATAATTTCTTTAATCAACATATTTCTATGATGCCAATTATGAATATCTGTTTAGTGAATAATTTATATGAATTTATATAATAGACCCCAATATGGAGGGAAGAACTGTCAGGGGCCTGACTCTACCCATAAGATGTGCAACCTGCATGTAAGTGGACAAATTATTATTTTAAAAATAAAATATTGTAAACAGTTTCATCTTTTACCAGCTTTATGTAACCCAAACTTAAATTCTGCCTGTGAAAGGTCAATATTAGTTCGGATTTATTAATTAGAAAAAAAACTGCTTAACACTCATTAGAAAATAGCTGCACAGGATTCTTTTTGTACCTGTATTAATAGATATAGTTATGAAAGGAAAGAAAATTTTGTAATGGCTAGGGGCACTGTGGTAGACTTTAATTATAGTGATTGACCAATAATTTATGATGAATAATGTTTAGGATAAGATATGAAAACAACCTAAGTTATATAAAAACTGCTCCACTCTTTTTATAAATTGACCTCTACTTATCCATTCTGAACGATATTCTGAACGATATTCTGAACAATATTCTGAACAATATTCATAAAAATTTCCATGAGTCATATGGATTATTGACTATTTTTGCTTAGTGAAATATAAAACTGACCACAAATTATAGCAAAATATAAAGTTATTTTGAGTAAAACCTGAGCACTCGCCATTTACACTTGGCTGGGCATAATGTCATTTTAAAGGTTTGTCTTGATTAAGAAGGTCGATCTATCACAGATTTTCATAGCCTCTATGTCATGTTATAGGAATGTGAAGGAAGGGAGCAGAATTTCCGTGCATTACAATGTGAGCAACTTGTGCAAGAGAATTTCCGAGGCTGGAGTTACAGGTGGCGAGGACATAGACAACAAACTGCGATAGACGGTAAATCTTTAGTTATATTGGTATACTACATGCAAATTTTTGTTTGATACTTTATTGGGTTCAAACAATGTTAAGGCTGATGATAAAACTGTTACAGGGAGATGTTGTCTAGTGGTAAAGGTATCTTTCTCTCAATCATGGGATCATGGGTTTAAAGTTTATAGGAGAACAACCAAGTTTCCTCTAAATTCAGGGCTGCCAACCGCAAATTGCAAAATCAGAGGAAAATACGCTGGGGGTCAAGGGGGCTGCGCAAGCCCCCTTTGCGGATCCAAAGTAGAGTCCTGGTGGGTGCCCAGGGGGCAAAGCCCCCTGCAGCTCCTGGATTCTGATGATTTGGTATGCCCTAAAATCAATTTCCTGGACTCTAAATTTGACTTCCTTGGTTGCCTTTAAAGCCATTCAAAGACACTTTAGTTGGACTTCAGGTTTTCATCAGCCCTCAAAACAAATATCCGACATTTTGACGCATTTTTACAACAGACAAGAGCAACAATGTAAACTTAATTTGATTGGTTATTCTAAAATAGAATGCCGGAAAAGACTCGATTTGACCAATGAGAAAAGTGCTTACAGACGTACCATAGGCGGCTAGCGTAACGATAAAAGCAGAAGCGTGCCGGTTTTTGGGTACTGTATAAAATATGACGAATGAATTTATTATACCCCCAAAAACGAAGTTTGGGGGGGGTATATAGGAGTCACCCGGTGGTCGGTTGGTTGGTCGGTCGGTCGGGCGGGCGGTCGGTCGGTCGGTTGGTCGGTCCAGACGTCCGTTGCATTTTCCTTGTCCGGAGCATAACTTGAAGACTAATGGTTAGAATTCAATATAACTACATACAATGGTCAAGCACATTGAGAGGAAGTGCAGTGCACAAGAACCATAACTCTATCTTGACTAATTACAGAGTTATTGCCCTTTGTTACTTTTCCTTGTCCAGGGCATAACTTGAAAACTACTGGTTGGAATTCAAAACAACTTCATACAATTGTCAAACACAATAAGGGAAAGTGCAGTGCACAAGAACCATAACTCTATTTAAAGTAATTGCAGAGTTATTGCCCTTTGTTGCTTTTCCATTGTTTTTTTTTGTCCGGACCATAACTTAAAAACCAATAGTTGGAATCCAATATAACTACATACAATGGTGAAGCACATTGAGAGGAAGTGCTGTGCATAAGAACCATAACTCTATCTTGACTAATTACAGAGTTATTGCCCTTTGTTACTTTTCCTTATCCGGAGCATAACTTGAAAACTACTGGTTGGAATTCAAAACAACTTCATACAATTGTCAAACACAATAAGGGGAAGTTCAGTGCACAAGAACCATAACTCTATCTAAAGTAATTACAGAGTTATTGCCCTTTGTTGCTTTTCCATTGCTTTTTGTTTTGTCCGGACCATAACTTGAAGACTAAAAGTTGGAATTCAATATAACTACATACAATGGTCAAGCACATTGAGAGGAAGTGCAATGCATAAGAACCATAACTCTATCTTGACTAATTACAGAGTTATTGCCCTTTGTTACTTTTCCTTGTCCGGAGCATAACTTGAAAACTACTGGTTGGAATTCAAAACAACTTCATACAATTGTCAAACACCATAAGGGGAAGTGCAGTGCACAAGAACCATAACTCTATCTAAAGTAATTACAGAGCTATTGCCCTTTGTTACTTTTTCATTGCATTTTTTGTCTGGACAATAACTTGAAGACTAATGTTTGGAATTCAATATAACTTCATACAATGGTCAAGCACATTGAGAGGAAGTGCAGTGCACAAGAATCATAACTCCATCTTGAATAATTACAGAGTTATTGCCCTTTGTTACTTTTCCTTGTCCAGAGCATAACTTGAAAACTACTGTTTGGAATTCAATACAACTTCATACAGTTGTCAAGGACATTAAAAGGAAGTGCAGTGCACAAGAGCCATAACTCCATTTTGACAAAATACAGAGTTACTGCCCTTTGATACTTTTCCTTGTCAGGAGCATAACTTAAAACGTACTGGTTGGAATTCAAAACAACTTCATACAATGGTCAAGCACAATAAGAGGAAGTGCAGTGCACAAGAACTATAACTCTATCTTCAGTATTTATAGAGTTATTGCCCTTTGTTCCTTTTCTTTGTCTTTCTGGACTTCTTACAGAGTAATTTAATTAAACTTCATAAATGGCCAACCACATTGAAAGGAAATGCAACATACAAGAACCACAACTATCTTTAATTGCCCACAACCATAACTCTATATTTCAATTCTTTTACAAGGTATTCTGTTACTAGTAACATCCTCATTTCCGAAGCAGTCTTGTGGGGGTATTAATCACATTTAGTACTAGTTCTAGTTGTCTTTGTCGAATTTACATCGATCTCAAAAATGACCCAGGAGCTCACGAAATCCACAGATTTCAGCGAATCCGCGGAAAATCGGCAGCCCTGTAAATTATTTCCAGCACAAGAGTGGTTTTAAAGAGTCTCGACCTTTCTTCACAATGAAGTTAAATTAGAAATGATAAAATATTGTATAAAGATTTTAGCATGAACAAAATATGTAAGAAAAATTTAGTTTTCATGCCATAAGTAAGTGTTATCTTATTTGTTCATGTCAAGAGGTTTTTATTTTTTCACCACTCTAAATAATGTTTGTTAAGTGTAGAGACTCCACGGGTTATGATACCTATTTTTGTGCTTATTTTTGTATAAGTTGTCTCCCTTTATCATTTGATTTAAGTTCTCCCTGAAGTTGTTGATATTAATTGTCTTCCTTTACTGTTGATATCAATTGTCTTCCTTTTATATTTTATAGTAATTTTCTCCCTTTAACTGTTGATATAAGTGGTCTCACTTCAACTATTGACTTAAGATGTCTCTCTTTAAGTTTCATAGAATTGGCTCCCTTTAATTGTCCCCCTTAAATTGATGTGAAAACATGTTGCTAAATTACAATACTGAATAATATTTTCAGCTGAAGATGAATGTAAGCTGTATTGTAAGGCAGATGGGTACAATTTTTACTATGCCATGCCAAGGGAGGTAACTGATGGAACTAGGTGTAATGACTATACTACAGACATTTGTGTCCAGGGAAAATGTCAGGTAAGATAACTCTTCTATATTTTTCATGATATTTAAATCAACTTATTCCAGGATGGTGGCTATATTACCTTACAGTAAAGACCACATAAATTTATAGTTTTTTTTCAAAAGTTAAATCTTGAAACATCATTGAATGTTTTCATTTTGAAAATTCCTCACATTTCTTCAAGGTCATGATTGTTAGTCACTTACCAAGACTCTTGATATTATTAATGGAAAATGCCTGAATTATACATACTTGCGGACCTAGAAAGGATTCCTGGTTAATGTTTCGAAGTTTTACTTCTATCTCCGTAACTGCTTAATTTTATATTTGTGAAATATCGGTAATACATGTAGATATCTGCCATTTCAGTTGTACATCACTGTCAGCTTGTTTTGTGGAACAGTCGCAGGAAACAAAATATAATTATTAATTTCAGTCAACAGTAATTCTAGCCTATTTAAATACTCTTCAAAGTGGAGGTTATGCATTAGGTGGTGGGGGGTAGACTACCTTAACCCTTTCCCTCATGAGCATATTGTGAAAAATGGCTGTTTTCATTGAAAAGCCTCCTGTTACAAGTTCAAACTGCTATGAAACTATGAAAAATGTTTCTATACTAAACAAACTTGGCACAAATGTTGACTGGACCATTGCCTGTGTAACGACATGCTCAGTCTTAAATTTCCTGTTACCATGGCAACAAGGGGACATCTCAAAATTGCCAAAAATCACTATTTTGCCTTGACTTTTTCCATCAAAATTGATTTTAAAGTGCTGCAACTTATCAATGGATTGAGATAGAGTCAAAGGCTTTTCAGCGTTGGTTACACGTTACCTTATGATCGACCTGGGGTAATTTTTAGCTCTCAAGTTCAAATTTTTCTTGGCGATGAGGGGGATTGCTGCCCCCTTCAAACCCCCCAAACAGAAGGGGGCACATCCCCCTTCTGGCAACCCCCTGATGTATCTTTTGGATGGGGGGCGGCGCCAAAAAAGTGCTCACTTTTTTAGCAACATTTCTCAAACAAAAACATGTGTTTGGGGTCCAAATAGGACATTTTTTTCACTGTTTGAGACCTTAAAGAGGGGGGGGGGGGGTCAAAAGTGTGTTGTTTCGCATATATATGAGGTAAAGGGTTAAGAGGTTGAAAGTTAAGTTTCATTGTCAAGCTATGGTATTTTATGTTGTATTATGTCGTCATTTATTGTATCATCCTGTACTGTTTCAGCATGTTGGTTGTGACCTGATTGTTGGATCATCAGCTAGGAAGGACAGATGTGGTGTTTGTAGGGGAGACAACTCTACTTGTAAAATAGTGGAAAATACATTCACACAACAGCCTAGAAAAAATGGTAACTTTATCATTCTATATAAAATTCCTGTTTATAAAAGATGAAAAATGTGCTTTGAGAATTTTTTTTTTACAATGTCATACTGTAAATTACAAATTTTTGTTTGGGATTAAATTTTCGCTTGTTTGATGAATTTAATACTGTCTTGAAAACAAATAAATACAAAGTATTATGGTATCATATAAATTTAACGGAACTAAAGGTATAAATATCGGAATATACAGCCTAGCCATTTTAAATTCAAAATGTTGATTTTTCTTAAAATGTTGTTATTCCCAAAATATTGCTTTCACAGTAATCAAAGGAAACAAAAGGAACTTGCATTATTGTAAGATGTTTTTTTGTTTAATGGTCATATTGTTTTTGTCTATAATTATTAATATATATTTTTAACTATAAACCTGGCCATACCATCTTTATTAAATCTGTAAGCTAGAGTCTGATTTTTGAACAGAACTGAATTTACTGAATGATGGTCCAATCAGTATCAACTTTTCAATATTTTAAATTTCACCATGATTTTATACAATATCAGAAACAGATTGGCTTTGAGGTTTTGTGTTTTAGCAGTTGTGTCAACATTCAGGAAAACTATGTAAGTTCTTTTGTCTAGGTAAAAAGCAACAACACATTTAGGCAACATTTGCACATGTTCTTAAAGATAAACTAGCCATATTAAAGTGTTCACATATTTTTATCTTACTTTAGCATATATGGGTGTGGTATACTTACCCAGAGGGTCAAGTAGTATTAAGGTAGAAGAGGTGGGTATTGCCCGTAGCAATTACCTGGCTTTACGAGACAGGCATGGAGAATATCATCTGAACGGAAACTGGAAACTTGACCCAGAGGGAGTGTACAGTATAGCCGGGACCAAGTTTATTTACCGACGACCTTACAACTTTCCCGAGTCACTAGTCGCTGATGGACCTATACAAGAAGATTTGGTGTTAGAGGTAAGACAAGTGTGGGGAGTTTATTGTTTGTATTTTCAGCTGTAAAGATGTCTAAGGCAAAAATATTTGGCACTGTAGGTTTTGATTTGAGAACCAATTGGTAGATCATGTAGTCATGCAGAATATACTTAGACAATCAGATATCTTATATATCAGATTAAGTTTTTAAATATATATTTTTCTTACTTAAACAGTTATTGATTATGATGAAATACCATTAATTGAGCTGGATTATGATGAAAATTAATAGAGAAAACAAGAATCCCTAAAGAATGTCAAAAACAGCAAAATTGAAAATGTCACAGGTTCTGTTTTATTGAAGCAACCACACCCCCTAACTGGAAACTTGTATCAAACATACTTTAGTATACGCCCTGGATAAATGTTACTAGTGTTATATCAGGAACAATTGCTGTGACCCACAGAAGGGGTGGATTCTGTGTAGAGGGAGAAACTTGATACATTAGATCAATTTACCCCTTAATAATATATATATGGAATAACATTCCAAAGCTTTTTTAACAGTACATGTTTTTCATTCATGGTCATCAAAGTAGGTCTGTAGCAACATTTTGTATGTATCTTGTTAACCAGGTTTTCTGAAGGAAAAAACTGATTATAAGATTGAGATATGTTGATGGGCGGGTAGGTGGGCGGACGTAAACAGTTTCTTCTGTGCGCAACTCCTCCTACATTTCTCAAGGGATTTTGACGGAACTTTCACAGAAGCTTTGTCATGAAGTGCCCTGGCGTGTATTGTCTGGCTTTAGAGATTCGATAATGTTTGACTTAAATATGGCCCTTTGTTTTTTTCCTTATATGGCATATATAGTGAACAATTTCTTCTGTGCTTAACTCCTACATTTTTCAAGGGATTTTGATGGATTTTTCACAGAAGCTTGTCATAAAGTGCCCTAGGGCATATTGTCAGGGTTTTAAGATTCGATAATGTTTGACCTAATTATGGCCTTTTGTTTTTTTTTTCCTTATACATGTATGTAATACATAGTGAACAATTCTTCTTTGTGCAACACCTCCTACATTTCTCAAGGGATTTTGATTACATAAGGTTTGACCTAATTATGGCCCTTTTTTTTTTCTTCATATATGTATTATATATTGTAATATTATTTTAATCACAACTACAACATTTAATCCAACTTTATAGAGTTACTGAATGGAATCCATCTGTCTTTTTCATAAAGTGTTCTGGCCCTACGGTATTCTGGCCCAAATTTTTAGTGTTTTAGGATTTAAACAGATTTTACAGAGTTATGGCCCTTGTAAATCTGGTTTTGTCACATTGCGATGTTTTTTGTAGTAATTAAGTCAAACTGGATATTTTCTTTAAAGGTATTGATTCAATCAGAGAACCCTGGCATTCACTACAGTTTCACCGTGCCTAGAAATCAGAACTATAATCCTCCATCATTGTACAACTTTACTTGGAGTGTTGTACTCACTGAGTGCAGTCAACAGTGTGCCGGAGGTAAAATGTTTACATTATAATTCCTGTTTTAAATTTTGATATTTTTTCTCATGTAACCTTAAATGTTGAATAGGTTTTCTACTTAGCACATTGAGGAGTGTGTTGGATTTATGATTCAGGAATAGCTCAGGTTTGATCCCTAGGGGAGCCGAGGTTTCTCTGTGACCTTTGATATCGAACATTCAATCTAATGATCAAATGAGCCGTGTCATGACAAAACCAACATAGTACGTTTGCAACCAGCATCAATCCAGACCAGCCTGCACATCCGCGCAGTCTGATCAGGGTCCATGCAGTGTTCGCTTACAAACTCAATTACAAGTAGAGAAACTGATAGCGAACCGCATGGATCCTGATCAGACTGCAAGGATGCGCAGGCTGGTCTGGATCCATGCTGATGGCAAACACACTATGTTCGTTTTGTCATGGCATGGCTCATTTGTTTTGCACTTCTGATCCAAAAAGCATATAGGATAATATTTGGTCACTTGTGGAGAAATTGCTTTTTACTGGTTAATTAATAAGTTTTCCAGGAAAGCCAGTTAGGTGCACCGATCACGGAGATGTGGCCAAAGATTGTAATGAAATCAGCATAAAAACCAGATAAACAAAAACCATGAAGAAATTTTTTGAAAAAAGTGTGTTCAATGAGGAAAAAAAGAGTGATGTGATTTCCTTCCTTTGCTGTTCCAAGTGTTTCTGGTGTTAATAAGTTCATTTGTTATATCATAATAATCATTCTTGCATTTAAAATCAGAGAAGAAAACATGAATAATAAATAACAGATAAAATTATGCAAGCACAGTCATGCTGTTGTTTCATGTTTTTTAATATGCATGACTCAGGTTGCCATTATGACTCTGGTTGTTTTATTATCAGAATACAACTGTTAAATGACATAGCACTAACCAGTAATGTTCAAGCATATGGGAAGCATGGAGAAATCTAAATTCCAAAACCAATTAAATTTATGTTTTTTTCCATGTCCAAAATTGTTAGAATTTTTGTTTTCTCCCTTCTGAAACAGGTGAACAGATTGTTACGGCTCATTGCCATAGAGACAAGGGAGTGGAAGTGGACCCGGCTTATTGTGCCAGAGAGCAGAAACCAGGAACCGGAACTTATCCTTGTAATACTCAACCATGTAGGCCAAGGTCAGTCCATGTTTTTTTACATAAACTGTTAACTTAAAACCTACTGAATTTATGTCATGGATTTAACCTGCTTAAAATTTCGAATAGTCCATTTAGATTTAAATGAATTAAAATGAAAAAATGCAGGCCGGCATAGCTCAGTGGGTTACAGCGCTAGACTTGTAGTCTTGACATTTTGGGTTGAATTCCCTAGCTGGCCAACTAAATTTACTAATCAATCTTTCCGATGAGACTTTGAATCTTGTCCATGGAATGAGTGCCTAAACACTTGGCATGCTAAAGAACCAGGAGAACCTTCTGGAATTGGTGCATCTTTCTGTTCTTAAATCTAAACTGACTTATACTCTTCTGGAGGACTCGCCCATTATACCAGCAACCGGTGGCGAGTATAAAAAAAACTGCCTTATTTCTGTCATTGGATTTGATGATTTTTCTTTTCCAAATACCACTACTTCATTTTTTTTTAATGAATAGCAACATTAGAAATTAATACATTCAAAACATCAAAATCTTTTAGAATTTCAGATAGTATTTTTGGATTATCCCTGAACATGCTTGAATATCTTAAATGGACTGGTCCCACTTCCATTTTTGTAACTGTCCATTATCAATTTTAGGGATATTAATTTGAATATTTAAAATTTGTCAGCCAACAGTAAAGAGCCTGGTCAGACTGCACGGATGTGCAGGCTGGCCTGGCTCTATACTGGGTGCAAAGACTTTATGCTTTCGCGTCCAGCACTTAAAGGGTTAAGAATACAGCTACTTTCCTATATAATGTTATAAGGGGATGATTAAGAAAAATTAAGATTTTTTTTTCCAAGGAATCGCTAAAGCTAGATTTTCAATGCATATATTTTGTTATTATGTAACTATATGCAAAGGAGAAAAGTCAATAAATACTGCTGTTAAAAAGACAATAATCACAACATTAAACTGAATCATAAAATATTTACATGAAATTAACATATGTATACATATATATATCGGGAGATGCTTTGGTAGTTTAGCACGGAGGAAGGTAGTCTAGTACTGGTGTAACTCTCCAGGAACAATGGTTAGGAAACTACCCGCCTATATGACTGAAATACTGTCGGGAAAAGGCGTAAAATGAAACAAACAAACAAACAAACAAACATATATATATATATGTATACTTATAGAATATGTTGGACAACTATATTGCAACTTTTTATTGTGTGTTACTATTCTATTTTCTTATTACAGATGGTTTGGCGAGCCATGGAGTATGTGTCACAAATCTTGTGGAGGTGGTCATCAGAAACGTAAAATATACTGTCTACAGAAACTATCTAAGACAGAAGATAGGAGAGTACCCAGAAAGTACTGTGATGCTGAACAGAAACCTGTTAGGAAGAGAGAATGTAACACTCATGAGTGTTCCCCTGTCTGGTACAAAAGCCCATGGTCACAGGTAAAGTTGACCTTTATGTTGCCGATTGGAACAAAAAGTAATCAGCCCTTGTCACCAGTATAGAGCCAGACCTGCCTGCACATTCATACAGTCTGACCAGGTTCAATACTGTTGGTAGCTTAAAGGCCCATTATGCCTAAAAATGCCTTTATTTTCATATCTCTTTTTCTTTGTAAGGGGGTTATTCTGGAATCAGCTTGTTAGTCTGGCTGTCCATCAGATTTCCTTGTCTGCCCAATTACTTAATATTCCTTTGGCGACAGTCTTCATATTTGGTATTGATATTGGTCATGATTTATAGATGACCCCATTAGATTTTGAGGTCACTGGGTAAAAGTTCAAGATCACAGAGGCCTTGACTAAAAAAAAAAGCTTGTCCGTTCAATAACTTAAGATTTCTTTAACCCACAGTCTTTATATTTGGCATTGAGGTTGGTCATGACCATAAAATGACTTCTCCTAATTTTGAAGTCACTGGGTCAAAGGTCAAAGTCATATGGACCTTTAGTTTGAAAAGCTTGTCCACTCAATTGCTTTGGTCAACAGTCTTCATATTTGGTATTGAGGTTGTTTTTGACTAGTAGATGACCCATATTGATTGCCAAGGTAACTAGGTCATTGGTCAAGGTCAGAAGGACCTTGACTAGAAAAAGCTTGTCCGCCCAATAACTTAAGAATCCTTTGACCCACAGTCTTCGTACTTGGCATGGAGGTTAGTCATGACCATTTGATGACTGCTATTGCTTTTGAGGTCACTGAGTCAGAGGTCAAGGTCACAGGGGCCTTGACTTCATAAAGCTTGTCTGCCCAATAACTTAAGAATCCTTTGACCCACAGTCTTCATATTTGGCAAGGAGGTTGTCCTTGAGCTCTAAATGATCACTGTTGATTCTGACAAAGCGGTATGCAGGGATATTCACACTATGACAGTCCCAGTTCTAGTTTTTAGCTCACCTGTCACAAAGTGACAGGGTGAGCTCTTGTGATCGCTTTTCGTCTGGCGTCCATCCGTCGTCCGTCCGTCGTCCGTAAACTTTTACTTTAAATGACATCTCCTCATAAACCACTAAGCCAATTTCGTCCAAACTTCACAGGAATGTTCCTTTGGTGGTCACCTTTGAAAATTGTTCAAAGAATTTAATTCCATGCAGAACTCTGGTTGCCATGGCAACCAAAAGAAAAAACTTTAAATATCTTCTTCTAAAAAATCCAAAAAGCTAGAGCTTAGATATTTGGCATGAAACATCTTCTAGTGAGTGTCTACCAAGTTTGTTCAAATAAAAGCCCTGGGGTCAAAATTGGCCCCGCCCCAGGAGGTCATTGATTTTCCCTATATGCATAAAGTAAAAACTTAAAAAATCTCCTTTTAAAGAACCCAAAGAGCTAGAGCTCAGATATTTAGGATAAAACATCTTCTAATGGGTGTCTACCAAGTTTGTTCAAATAAAAGCCCTGGGGTCAAAATTGGCCCTGCCCCAGGGGATCATTGATTTTCCCTATATGCAAATAGTAAAAACTTAAAAATTTTTTTTTAAAGAACCCAACAAGCTAGAGCTAAGATATTTAGCATGAAACATGTTCTAATGGATGTCTTACAAGTTTGTTCAAATAAAAGCCCTGGGGTCAAAATTGGCCCCACCCCGGGGGTCATTGATTTTCCTTATATGTGTATAGCAAAAAGTTAAAAAATCTTTTTTGAAAAAAAAACCAAATAGCTAAGGTTTAGATACTAAGCATGAAACATGTTCTAGTGAGTGTCTACAAAGTTTGTTCAAATAAAAGCCCTGGGGTCAAAATTGGCCTGCCCCGGGGGTCATTCATTTTTCTTATATGCATGGGTGCAAGTTTTCAGGCATATGCCTGAAGCTTAGGTTTTTTGTGACAAATTTCATCATGTTTTACTATAAGATTATGTAGGAAAATGATTATGAATTACAGTTTTCAGGTTTCTTCAAAATTTCAATTTGCACCCATGTATATATATGTGTATAACAAAAACTTAAAAAACTGGCCCTGCCCCAGGTGTGTCATTGTTTTAAACTATATGTGTAAAGAAAAAACTTGAAAAAATCGTCTTTTAAAAAACCCAATGAGCTAGACCTTAGATGTTTAGCATGAAACATCTTCTAATGGGTGTCTACCAAGTTTGTTCAAATGAAAGCCCTGGGGTTTAAACTGGCCCCGCTCCGGGGGCCTATATACAGGTGAGCGACTTCAGGGCCATCATGGCCCTCTTGTTTTTTGTGTTCTGTGAAAACTCAAAAAAATTACTAATCAGTCAATTATCTGATTCAGAACCATTTCTTGCTTCTGTTACATTATGGCAGTTGGTAGAGATAAAGCTATTAAGTATTTTGTATGAAAGTCAAAATACTACTTTGTTTACATTTGCTACTTATATGACAAATCATTTTACATTACACGCTATTTTCTTCAAGTAACAAACATCAAACATGCTCTTAAACCATTATTTATACATTGTAAAACTTGTGTGTCCACTTTCTAAAGAAGAAAAAAAATAATCATTTCTGAGGCATAACGTGCCTTGAATTTTTGTATTTTGATTTTGAAATTTCTTGAATTTTAAATGCACTGTTCCAAATTCAAAGCAGAGCAAATCCATTACACAAATTATAATATTTATAGGATTTTTATAGATAAAGTTGAACATTTGTTTACAGTGTTCAAAGAGCTGTGGTAAAGGGTTAATGTCAAGGACAGTTGTGTGTAGAAGTAAGACATTAAAGGGTCAAGTCATATATCCGGCTTCGATGTACGCTGGTGATCCGCAGCCGATCTCACAGAAAGGTTGCAGGCGTAGACGGTGTCCTGACCCAACAGCTAAATGGGCCAACACTGCATGGAGCCAGGTATTGAAATTACAAAAAATATTTTTTTAATTATTATGATTGTGCTTATATTGATTGTGCTTATATCGGATTATTTTCAAATTTTGTAGTTCAAGTTCTTCCAACCTGTAACTTATATATCATTCTTATGCCTCAGGGTCAAGAATTTAGTAATGCATCCATCTGTTAGAATGAAAAACAACAACACTTTTTACAAAGGATTTGTCTTTACCATAGAAATTCAGAAGTAATAGGACATATTGAAAATGACAAACAAAACATAACAAAACTGTTATTACCTGATGTTTTTGTTTTATTGGGTAACAATTATATCCTCCCTATGTATGTACATAGCTGAATATTACTATAATAAAATTTACTATCTTATCATTTCTACAATATTTTGCTATGTTATGTGTTCTTCAGTGCACAAGAACGTGTGATGTAGGCACGAGAACTCGAGCTGTTAAATGTATGAGGAAGACAGAGTCCGGGACTGTAATAATTACCAAAGAGAAACGCTGTAATCACCTAGATAAACCAGAAATAACCCTGACAGAGTCTTGTCAGGTTCAGGCGTGTCCAGAGCTACCAGAATGGTACGCCTCTCCTTGGTCGACTGTAAGTTGTCTTCAGCTTTTATACATGTAGTTGTCCGTGCAATCATTTTTTTGAGATTCTGAATTTCGGAAATTTACTCTTCATTTAGAAATAGAATACATGACTACACTTCAAATTTGTTGAGACCAGATATTTTATTTTTATATATAGTTGAATCCTGGAATTAGTAGTAATGATACTTACTGGTTAAGTATCTAATAAAGTTGGTTTAAAGTGTGAGATCTACCACAGTGATATGACCCAAAACATCTATTGAAATGGGCATAAAAACCAGTCAAAACAAACAAACATAATCAATCTCAATGCCACAGGTATACAGTATAGAAATAGCCAGGAATCAAAGTGATTTGAAGAAAAATTCATAAGTTATTTGAAAACAGTTTTATCTAAATTTTATTATTTTGTCACCTTAGTGCAGTAGAGGATTAACTCCCATTAAATAATATCAGGAGTTAACCTGTTACAGCATTAAGGTGGCGATTTTATTTTAATATTAAAGTAATTTTCTTGTTTTTAGTGTTCAGTGTCGTGTGGACGTGGTCAGCAGACGCGACTGGTTCACTGTATGCATCAAAAGTACAGAAAGCTTGCCACTAACTGTGACCAGTCTGTCAAGCCTCTAGCGAAACAGAGCTGCTTTCAGAAAAAATGTTTGGATCCAGGTAAAATTTGTATCTAGTTGATATATGCATATTCCTTGCTTATCATATCAGAAGTGCTGTAGAGGGAGCTATAGTGCTATAAGCATTATTTTGAAGAGAATAACTATAAAAAACATTAGCTCCTTCCCTCCTAGTCAAATCATTTTAGAGAAAATAAGGCAGATAATCTTCTGGACCAAAGTGGCATAGCTAATAGACGTACTGTTTGGCCTTTGTGGCTGAGTGGTTAAGATTGTCAACTTCAACTTACTTACCCTGTTTTGCTGTGGGTTCGAATCCTGTCTTAGACTTGGGATTCTTTCTTGTGAGGAACCCATCTAGTAAGCTAAATAAAAATAAGTAGTCCTACTAGTAGTTTTTACCTGAGATAATGTGCAGGGGGCACCTCAAGTCTTTCTTAATCAATAAAGAATTGGTGTCACATGAAACCTGACATATTGAAGGAGAATGTTGGCTTTGTGGTTAAGGTGACTGCCTCTCAACCCAGGGATCATGGGGTGAGCCCTTATCAGGTCACAACAATGTTTGTTCATATGACACCAATACTGGTTGGTTCCTGGAAGCTGACTCACAAGTGATTTATATAAGTTGTTAGAACTTGTTTTGCAATCAGGCTTCAAGAGATCTGTTTAAACCTAATCCCAACAAATTTAATCATCATACTTTGGTAAACATTATCAAATACAGTGGAATTTTAATGAGGTGTCCACCTCGACTGGCCAATTTTATCAATGTGTCAAAGTAAAATGTCCGTCTTGATTTTTTTAAAATTTTTTTATAAAAACCTACAGATGAGTTGACATTTTATGTGTCGAATTTTTCAATGTGATTTCTCAAAAGTTCAATTTACCATTAATATGTCAAAGTTCTGGGATTATTTTGAAACCTTCAATCTCGAGACATTTTTTAGTTCTTTTCTGGTCGCAAAGATGATTTCCAATCACTTTGTGTGACAGGTGTTAATTACACAGCAGTGTGTTCTAACAGCCTTTATATAACTTAACATGTGTGATAAAATGCTCTAATTGTTATCATTCAAATTGTTGTAGTTGTGTTTGAAAATCATAAGACAGTATGATTTAGTTCTGTTTGCAAAGTACCGTGACTCTGTGTCGCATGATAATCACACAGGATATGTTTACTTTTATATAAGCTGATTTAGTTATCTCCCGTCCCTTTTGTTACACCTTTTGTAACTCGCTTGTAAACGTTGAACGCTCGTAATATTTTCAATAAATTAAAACCAATTCATGACTAACAAAAGTTCTACTGTAATATCTCCAAACATCATTTCGTCTTTCAACAAGCTTCCGACATAATATGAAGAAGAAGAAGAAGAAGAAGAAGAACTTTTTATTTGCACTAAAGCCCTAAAAAGAGCAATTGACAAAGCATCAATATATATACATACACAAATATAAACATAGCAATACGTGACAAGAAGTCGAGATGGCATGTGTATTCACGTGAAATAATTCTTTGGTAAATGGAAAAGTAGCTCATACACTTTAAGCTGATTCACTGTGCTATCTAAAATTAATATGTGATGATCCTTAAAGAAATTTAAATGAACTAAAGGCTGAGCACTTTTGGATCTAGCATATTTGTGGTTAAATAAACTGTATCTAGTGTTTAGATTTTAACATGTTTTATTTGTTTTCGTTTCAGGTCCTTCGTGTTTTGACGAGTTTTCATGGTGTCATCTCGTGCCGAAACACAAATTATCTGTAATCAATTCTTTCTACGGGACCAAGTTGTTGTCTCTCTTGTCAAACAAAAGATGATGATTGCTTCCATTAGATATTTGAGGCGGACAGCCTGTACTTATAAACTGCATATTGATGGAAACTCGCATTATTTTCTTATTATGCCATTATTTAATAATAAAAAATGCAATTCTTCTATGATTCATACTCAAACAGTGCCAAGCAATTGTTGTAAGAATAGATTAATAGTTAGCAAAAAATTTGTTGATGTGTTTTTAAAAAAACTGTTTGGTGTTTTCCGCACTGATGAAGGTTATTATTTTTGAGGAAAATAAAACTGGAAGGCGTCTGCCATAACGTTGGCATTCAATTTTGTTCAGATTTTGCATGCAAGTTGGTCTCTCCAAAACTGCTAAAAGGGAATGGGTTGAAACTTCAACACTTATTTGAGAGCATAAAAGGTCACTGTCCAAGGTCAATGGCATGTATCAGACATGGATTTTGACAAAATTATTGTCCTTTTGAACTTAAAGAAAAAACTACATTATCCACATCAAGCACCGAGAATAGTTGAGCATGCTGTCCTCCCGTCATCCCCTGTTTCTCTCTACCTTATCCAACAATTATGAGAAAAATATGTTATTTTTTGTGTAAGCGTGTGTTAACAACATATCAACATTAAACAGTTTGTAAGAAGATATGTGTTTGGAGAATGACAAATCAAATTTCACATACATTTAGTTAACGAAGTTTCAGAGTTTGAAAATGTTTTTCCTTAATAATATATACCGTGTAACCTCTTTATAACAGCCATACCATTTTTCCCTTAGTAAGACTTCATATCACTTCTGGTCCTTCGGGATCGTTGATGACAGCACTATTAAGTGTTGAGAATTGAGTACCGCTCAAGCTGGGGCTAAGGGGCGTGAGTGATCTTGCACTTATTGATAAATAGAACGTTTTGTCTTCCTTCATTTTTATCAAAAATGAATATGTACACAATAAACTTCATAAATACCTTAGTCCGACTAATTCCACTTGTCAAAGAGACATTGAGGTATTTTTTGGAATGGGCGGTGTCTTTTTTTCCAAAGGTTTGACAGTAAGAAAAGATTTTAAAAAGTAGTTAAATGGGTCAAAGCATGCTTACTCAATAATTAAATATTATCCATATATTGAGTAAAACCTTATAAATGGTTATTTTCCTTATCTGAGTAAATAGTAGATATCTTTTGTTTTGTTTCAGTAACTTTGTCATGTTTTTGAATACATTTTGTCTTTTAAATTTGTGAATGAAACTGTTAAATTAAATGTAAAAAATTATCAGGGTAAACTTCCCCAGTAAATGAGTGAATTATCAGTTCATCAGGGTTGATTAAATAATATCGGTATAATGTCAGGGATATTTTTTATCATCAAACATTGTTACAAATGCTGTACTGTTTATTTATCAGAGATTTTGCCATCAGTTTAAGAGTGACAGCTTTAAACAAACTGTTTAGGCAAACAAAATTTTATATGCTGCAATTTTATTATATGCACCAACAAAATTTGTTTTCTAGTTTACAGCATAAGAAAAACTGTTATTTAACTGTTGTTAAACCTTATGAGGCACAGTATACAAGGTGTTTTATAATAAAATTCATTTTTGAATCAAAGTACTGAAGTACAGACGACCTGGCTATATAGAGTAACAAATCAAAAGCACTGAAGTACAGACGAGGAAACAAATCAAAGTACTGAAGTACAGATGAGCTGTTACTTTGCGGTTAGCTCATCATATTATGTTATGTTCTTATGTCTATTTTTAAAAATACTGAAAATGTGTGTAAAACAAATGTATTTAATTTACTACATTGTATTATCTTGGAATTTGTATATTTTGCTGTAACTTTCACATAAATTTAGATTAGAAATGAAATTTGTTTAAATACCTTTTGCTTTTTAAAAGTACATAGAATTAACGTTGTAGTAGTAGAAAAATAGAAATTGTGCATATACATTCATTATTCTTTTATTTAGTTCACTTTTTAACCTATACACCCTCCTGGATTTCTAAAATAAACTTTACTTTTAAAAAGTTACCGTTTGTGAAACTGTCCATTATCAATTTTCGGGACGTCATGATGAAAATTTAAAGATACTATTTCAAATGGTAAGTGTTAAATGCCCATTATTCCTCAGAAATACCACTATTTTTTCTCTCAAAAGCTTGCTTGGTATCTTGTTACAATATTCAAACTAATACTTATTTGCCATATACATGTAACGTGAACTATCTTTTGCAACTATAGTTCTGTTGGCAATCGGTATAGTTATAGTGAATAAGTATTTTGTATGGAAGGTCACAATACTTTGTTTACATTTTGCTACCTTTATGTCACATTACTGCACATTCAGCGCTAATTAGTTTCAATAAACCCCTATCAGTACAGTGTACATGTATAGATAGTTTGTCTATTGATAAAACTTATAGCACTATAGGTAGTGAGTGTCTAATTCTACAACTGTATGGTAATGGGTTAAACGTCTAATACGCTGTAATTCCATCATCTGTTAAACACATGTTTGACATTTTTTTATGAATTGCAAAAAGACCTAATTTTCGAGGCATAGTGTGCCTTTAAAAAGATATTCATGTATGTATGTCAAATTATTTTTCGAAAAGAACTAACCAGTGAATAAAGCTTTGTATTTTTATTCAAATTTGTTTCATAATTGTTTATTTCAATAGATGCATACATTTTGTAAATTCATATTTGTACATTTTTTTTTTCAAATTTTGCTATATTAATAAAACATTGGTAATAATTTGATTTTGACAAGTGCCGAGGAATTTCTTTTATAAGTTTAGTACCTGGGAAATACTTTACCTAAATACATTGAAACATTGAGTTCATGATGAAGATTGTCATGTTTTTTATTATAATTAAATGTTTTCTGACATCATTTAAGCCTTACCACTCCCATTATAACATTGAAGTGAACTTTATATCTTAATTAAAGTAGAAAATAAATTAAGTATAATAATTACGCTCTATTTAAAAGTATTTCAAGATGTTACAGTATATTATATATTTATAAATGAATACATGTATGTATTGAGAAATATTGATGAAATAAAATGCTGTTTTACATTTTCTGTATTCTCATTGCAAAAATTTACTTTTCGCTGTTAGTGAAATATATTTTCCGTAACTTCACTGGTGTATTGCCAGACTACTTCCACCTTCAGCCAATACATAAAATTTAGAGGGAATTCTTCCAAAATTGTAATGTTAAAAAAGAGTAAAATGTATATAATAAACAGAAAATGAAGGTTTTCTATAAATAAAATACGTACAGGATTTAATTTCATCTTGGGGTTATGCAAATTATCATATTTCACTCATGAAAAATATTTTTTCATATTACTCTATTAAATAAGTCCTGTTTTTATAATTATCAAAAACATGTCCTTAATATATTTGAGTATGTTTGGAGAAAAGCAATTTTTGATGTATCTAAACCTTTTGATGACTTTTTTTACACTCAATTTTTATTGGCAAGGATCCCAGCATTAAGTAAAGTTTTCTGCTATAATTCGTCTACAATATTTTTGTATTTCTGTATATATTTATAATGTTCTGATTTATTTTGATAATTAGGATAAGTGTATTTTATATTATAAGTGTATTTTATGTATTATTTGTACATGTATATACTATTATTATATATGCCATATCGCTTCACTAACTGTTGACTTTTTAATACTCATGTAACATTTGTCTTAAAATTGTGGGCACTTAAGAGTCAAGTTTGTAATAATTAATCACTCTGAAAATTTTATTAATTTTATCTTTTTTTCCATCTGAAAACATATGTATATTAAACACTTACTCTATTACAAAAACATAGTCATATAGAAAGTCTCTGCTTATAGACCATGAATTTAGTTTTCTAAACTCAGCTGTTTTTTTACCATGTGGGAACACTAGAAGATTTAAAGTGTAAAAAATTATACGAAGGAATCAGTGGAAAAAGGCGTGGCTACACAACCTACCTTTTATCTGTCTTGAGAAGCCACGCCTATTTCTATTGATTTCATCACACTACTGTCAATTTCATAAGTTAGTTAATTTAAACAACTTATGAAATTAACTAGTACTGTGTAGTACATTTGTAATAGTTATAGAAATAAGCGTGGCTACCAAACCTGTTATTTGCTAACTTATGGAATTATTTTCTTTCTTCTGAAATAAGACAATTCTGAGAGATTTAAGCAATTGAAGTAGGCATGAGATAACCCAACCCATCTTGGGCGTGTTTATTAAGTTTTAGGATACAATGAAAAGAGGCACAGCTACCCAACTTATTTTTGACCAGTTTATGAAATTTATACTACTATTGTTTAATGGATAAAATAAAAGTAGGTGTGAGTCACAACCAACCCCATCAGTGGTTCACTCAGGAAATAGTCACTCTTTGATCAAAACGTGTACAGGTTTGGATTCTTCTTGTCATAGACTTTATTTTCGGAAATTTTTTATAAACGATAACAGTTTGGCAGTAAAATTCTGTTGTCCGTATAAAAGGAAAACGTCATTTTCAAGTAATGTTCCTCAATGATCTTAAATTGTGGTCAGTTGTTTGATTTATACTTATTGTGACTTAAATCTACTGGAAAATCAAAAGTATTCTACAAAAATTTTAGTGAAGAAGGGTGTTGACAGGAAAAATTATGTGTACCTAGCTTGAAAGTGAAAGTCACTGTAAGTTTTGTTTAAAATTGATAATTTTAGAAAGAGGGAATATACGTTTGTCATAAATGGAACGTGGGGTACAGCTTGTACCTTTTTTATTCAGCGCTTGGGCACAAAGGAATTACTCCTTGGAGACGCTTGAAAAAAAATACACATATTTTCGTATTGAATACAATTTAATAAAGCCTCAACCATTCATACATTTTGAACAAGTCTGTCTGAATCAAAGCATTAACTTATTTTGTGTACAAAATTGAATTCTAAATAATATTTCACATTACAATCACACAGAAGCACATACATAACACATACAATAAACAGTGAAATATAATACAA